AGAAATGCTCTGCCAAGTTATCATGCAAGTTTAGATATGATAGTTAATGAAGGGATGTGATGATGCTGAGCCTGAACACAATTCTCTAAACTTGTGAAGTTCCTTTAAAATGCTGCAGAATACAGAATTTGGGGGAAATGAAACTTGGTTCCCCAACTTAGGACCAGAGGCTGCAAAACTGCACCACAGTCTGTTCAAGTGTGACACAGTGTGCTTTGCCCCCATTGCCGTTGTTTCCTTTTCGGTAAATTATGCAGATGACCTGTTCAGCAAATAAGTTTTATTTTACTTATTACTACTATAGGGCATCTTTACACGTGATCTGGGGTGCGGGTAGGGAAGCATTTTAATTAGGACATGTCTTGGGAGTTGCTCTAATTAAAACTCCTGCAGTGGCTCATGGATTTAGCATACTGTGCTTCAAAATGGCAGCGGGTATGCTTTAGCTCATTTGACAAGCTTTAGTCAAAGTGCTTCCACCACCATTTTGAGACGCAAGGATGCTGAATATACGTGACAACAAGGCTGCTGGAGCATTCTAATTAGATTAATTGAGTCTGTTCCTTTGCATTCTAATTAGCCAGGCATCAGGCATGTGTATACATGCCCATAGCTTCCTAAATCCCAGAATCTATGGATTACATGCAAATGTGTCTTGTATAAATAAGGTAATAAAGCAGAACCTAAAAATAGCCTGCCAGGATGGAAGTAGTTGTAATGTTTCCTTTCAAATAGTTTTTTAAATCACTTTTAAGGGGCTGTTTCAGAGGTTGTAAAAAGACAAATGCTTCTACAAACGTATGTATATTACTTGTATAAGGATATGTATAATCCCATGATTGGAGAATTCATAGTGGGCACAGGGACATCAATTATATTTACACTAAGTCATAGGTATTGTCCGTGAACTTGGTCCTGGAAGTCATCTTCCAAGACTCAATGTGTGGAAAAGCCAATCAGAGTCTGATATTGAGTAGTGCTGGTTTTAACCCCAGATAAAATTACATTTCAGGAGACGCATCTACACAAGACATGTACTGTGGATTAGGCTAATTAGCTCTGCAGTAAATGCCTCATGTCTACATGTGCAGTGCCATTACGCAGGTGTGAACTAATCCACTTTGCAGCAGGATAGTACTGTAGTACTTTTTTACTCCGCAGAACTGCACATGTAGACACTGATGCAGCTAGTTTGGGCATGTGCATGCTTCATTGTGGGGGCTGCCTGCTGGCAAGCCCTGCACTGGAGCATCCTTGTACCATAGCCAGCCACTCCATAGCACATTGAGTGGGCAGGAGAAGCCCCAGGATGGCAGGCTGACCCCCCAGGGCCTCTGCCAGCCAGGGCTTCTCTGAGTCAGCTCAACATGCTGTAGTCCTGGGTGCATATTCAAACAGCATGCCTGGGAGCAATAAACTCCAGTTCAATAAGAAATGGAGTTTATTGCTTTGCATTAATTGCACATGTAGGTGTGCCCAGGGAATCACGAAGTCTGACTCCTAACTATTTTTTTCTAAATCTTATTAAATACTTTGGGACATTTCTGGTTAAAATTCATCATAAATACAAATCAGTTTTATTATTTTCTTTCCAGGAAGCGTTTAGGTAGGTTACTGTTGCTCAGAGGCTGTAAAGTGTTTTTAGTAATAACTATTTAATTTGCTAAAATAAAGCATTTTCAAAAGCTGAATAAATGCAGGGCATAGTAAAAAAAAAGCAACATTGCAGGAAAGCACTTGGATTTTGTATACATGGGTTCTAAATCCCACTATGCCACCAACTTACTATATGACCATGGACATGTCACTTAGTTTCCTCACTTTTCCTGTATACACAAAGATGGATAATACTACCACTTACCTTCTTTACTATGGCATGAGAAGCCTTAATGTTTGGAAATTGTTCTGAGAATTCTTCATGAAAAGCATTATATATAATTTTAAAAAATACAAATACTATATTTTCTTAAGTGATTATGATACAGAACAACTATGAAATGTAACTTGGTTTAAAAGACAAAGAATTGTAAATAGACATCCTTTTATTAATGAAACAACTATCAAAATGATAAAGCACCCTATCCTAAAACCTGTACTTTTCAGGTGAGGAGGAATTGCAGTGAGATAACTAATCCATCTATAGAATCAGCTGCCTCCAGCTGTTTACAGATGTTCATCTCTACTGGAAGAAACTTCTTTCAATAGAAAAATAGCCTAGGGGATGGAAGAAAGTCTGTATAGTTCATCTTATGGCTGCAGAGCTTCACAGGCCAGCTTTCCAGCCAGAGGACACTAGAGGTCTACTCTCTGGGCCACCCCTGCTCTGAGGTATACCCCCTTATTGATAGCCTGCCCCCTCCTGTGTCTGGGAAGTGAGTGGCAGTTAGCAGCTGCAGAAAAGCAGCAGATGCCACAGATAGCCAAGGAGGGTCCCAGACCCAGAGGAACGTCCCCCTTCCATCCCACTAATTAGTTGATTGGCAGAGGAGGTGCATTTTCCCATGAAGAATCCTCCTGGTTCTCTGCTGCAGGAGAATATCCCTGCTCCTTGCACTCTGACCCAGAGCCATTTAATTGTTGTTGCCTGGATATTTTTCTTTTGAATCAGCCATTTTTGCTCTGAGAGAAGAAGCCTGAACATCTACACTTTTAGTTTCTACTGCAAGAACAGCAATTCTCTTGGCAGAAACAAAACATCTGTATCTGGCCTGAGTTATAACCTAAATAGGTTTTCTCAAAGTGGAAAAAATTAGTTAAGCTTACAAAGAGCTATTTGTCACATCCTTTGAACTCTTTATTATGGTTAACTAAAAGAGACATAGCTGGGATTAAATACATTACTGGTTAACCTAGAAAACTCTTGACTAGAATCTCAATATATTCTGTAAAAAGAGGATTTAGTGGCATGGTACAACAAGCAGTCAACTTTTTTTCTGTATAAAATTAGATATAGGTACCAGTCTTCGGCACATTGTTGTTTCAGTTCACTCGCACAAACCATGTGTTTCTGCCAATGCTTTAAGAATAAATGACTATCAAAACAAGAGGAGTCTGATTCAGGGCTTCCTAATTGAATAGCTATTCAGATTGGGAATATAGTTTGTCTAGAGATTTAGAAGTTTAGATAGGCTAATAAAGATTTTGTTACCCTTACATCAAGGTGCAATTTAATCAGAAAAAAAATAACCTAAAAAATATGGCATGGTTTTTAACCTGTTTTGGAATGCTATTAAAATGTGCAGTCCATTTATGGATTAGAAGTGTTGTCATAAACCAATTCTAGTTATGTATTCCACAAATCCTGGAATAAAACCCCAGCATGTTCAAAGTTCTTAAAAATCCTCCTTTGATGTTGCATATGGTTGGTTTTAGTTTTTGAAACTGATTTTAAAATGTCAAATAGGTGAAATTAGGTGTAAATAAAAATGGAAAGTACCATAAAGAAACAAAAATTAAAGAAAATACATGACTGTATATAGTCTTTCTTTTGTACTTAGTGAAAATCTCTCTCCCAGTTACACTATACAACATGTATATCATTTGTGCAGCATCCACAGAGAGTCTGTAGTGGCTATACATGCTTTCTAATGAGCCTGCTTTGTCTACACATTTAGTCCAGTTATACTATAGTGTTGCTCAGTTGAAATCATTGGTGTAAATTCGAAGTAATGTAGCAGTGAACTAGGTCCAAACTTTTATTTCTCTTCATTCTCTTGCATGTTTATATTAATTCAATAAAGTGGCTCATAAGAAAGAAAGAAGAAGCCTATCAAGAGTGTTTAGAATGTCTATTTACAAAAATATAAAGAGTGAAATAATGCATATATATCAGGTAAAAGGAATAAAGTAGGAGGTTATGTTTAAAGACTTGGGGTGCAGCCTGCTTACGTGTTATTTAATATACGGTTAGCATATTGGTGCTTCTTTAGATTAGATTTTTTTTCCATGTAGCTATCACTGTATTTTCTAAGCACTGCTTAGGCTCAGATTTGATCTGATTTAGTCTGTTTCCCTTCCTTATACATTCAGAAGTAAAATTGATTCTTTTTATTTAAAAATAAGTATATTCAAGAAAACATACTTAATTAGAAATGTTTAAGAATATTTTTCTTTTCCATACCCCCCTTTTTTTGGCACCTGGGGAATTCTTCTATTGTTTTGTAGTTTGAGGCAGGGAGAAGAATAGTTCCCTGGGTCTTGTATCATGCACCTGACAGAAGGAGAAACTGTTGGATGGGTTCAGCAAATGGTATTCCAGAATGGATGTGTTCACTCTAAACTATCATGCGTGCTGTGCTCTGTGCCTTTGTCTTATCCTGCTGGGCTTGCTTCTGGTGCTGTCTTAGAAAAAGAGAAGTAGAGGAAGGGGTTAACTTTTTACTATCAGCCACAGAAAGGCACATTTGCAATTGCTCCCCGTCTTGTCTTCCTTTTTATACCTCATTCGCTCACCGCTACTCTTCACTTCAAGGCAGATCCTTTGACCTAAGCAGATTATTGTAGACGCATGAAGGACACAGCAAGCAATCCATGCTTTTAAAGGAGGAGATTTTGGCTCCAAAATAGGACACTAAGCCTTTCAGCCTTATGCTTATTTACTTAGTCAGCACGATGCAGTGTCTCTGGGTGCTTAGTGGCCTCTTGCGGAATCGGGGAAACAAAAGCAGAAGTGGCAGCCGCTGCAAATGTGGGAGTCTGTGCTATTAAAGGGAAGCAGTTGCTAATGAGGGCCTGTGAGACCCAGGTTTCCTTGGTTTCCATGACATTTATTAGGTAACATAGAAATTGAATTGTCTCCCACAATGCTCCTGGGGGGGGAAGGAAAGGGGGTGCTCCAGTCACAAAGCAGAGTAGTTATGCCTCGTCTCTATAAGAATGCAAAACTCTTTGGATTATGTCGTGCTTTTTTCTTTGATGTGGTTTTTGTTTTACTTTTCTGATGGAAGACCCTGGCATGTGCTGGTCAGTGTCTCAAATAATATTTTCCCCTTTTTATTTAGAGCTGAGCTTGGCAAAGCAAGGATATGAACAATTATACAGGTGGGCTACTCAGGGGGAGTGAAGATATAAGGCATCCAATCAGGTATTGGCAACCTGCAGCACTGTAAAAATGCCCCTCCAACAGATTTCTGTAGTCCCAGCGCGGGAGACTGCCAGCAATGGGAGAAGTTCAATGGGCAGAAACAAAGAGAAGAGCAAGGAAGTCGAGGTAAGAAGAAGGTTTGATTTGATACAATAGAACAGCTCAACAGGATGTACTGTGTAGACCAGCAGTACACATAGTCACCGCATGCTTTAGCACACTGAAACAGCATCTCTTATGATAGCCAATAATACTATCCTAACCTGTATTTTGGAATTATGGAAAAATATGAATGCATAGGCATTATCATTTAAAGAAGACATTGCAGCACCAGTGGGGTTATTATTTTTTTCTTTTCTTTTCTTTTCTTTCTTTCTTTCTTTTTTTTTTTAAACATACTTGTGGCAAAACCTGTCTCTATTGCATGGGTGAAACTCCCATTTATTTCAGTAGGGTCAGGATTTCACCTTTCATTTAAGGGTTGTTTTTTTTTTTACATATATAGCCAAGTAACACTTGCAGACAGTGGATATTGTTCTTTGCGCACTTTAAGGTGCCAAGGACATATTTTAACTTCTTGTTCATAGCTTTGGACAAAAAGGAATAGTTAGAAAGATTCCTTCTTTTAAGGAAAAAAATAATCCTGTTAAAGTCTACCTTGCTAAAATGCATGCTTTTGTAAGTGAAGGCAAAAGCTCTATCGCCTGCAGAGTGGTCTGCATTTTCATTTAAAATGCATCACTTTGTTTTGTTGTTCATCCATTGTTCCCTGTCTTTCATGAAAAAAAATCATTAAAAAGCAACAGATGTTATTTCATCAATATGGCATTATTTAATTATTTAAGAACTAATTCTAGGCTTGTTGTATACTAAGAGGTGCACACAAAATATAAAAATCTACAACATTTTCTGTAAGTTTTTAAGAGCGTTTTGTGGGGGGTGAGGCAGAGTCTAATATAACAGTCCTATCAGTATAGGTTAGATGGACACCTCAGAAACAGTTTGAAATGGTATAAAAATACTCTTATAGATACAGCCACCTTCATCCCTTCAGCAATTTTAGTCTGGTATATATACCCAATTACCCTTTTAACAAATATATATTTGTATTCTGGGGAAAAAATGAGAATGTTGTAAGGCTTATCTGTTTCATAAAGTGATAAAATATACTGCATCTCTTTTAAAGAGAAGTGGTTTTTACAGCCCCTTTCTCTTTCATAGTTAAATGACCTAGTTTTCAAGAAATCAACAAATGATTGATGTTTCTAAGGTTCTTGCAGAGTGGTGGAAATATTAGTAGATTTATTGAGTGATTTTGGTTGAGACTGTCTTTAAATCTGGCATTTGACTTCTGACAAATGCAGCAGTCATTATTTTTGTTTTTTCATCTGAGAACATCCGTGGGCAGCGTCCTTTCCTAAGAGAGAAATAGTTTTTGTTTTATTTCAAATGCACTCTGTTAGCAATTTTGACCCGACTAGATCATGCTTTGGGTTTTATGCAATTAAAGTCTTTAATTGCTTTATTGAGTGTGGGAAAGGTTCAAGAAAAAAATGTTCAAATTAAGACTTCAAGCATGAACAGTTGAAATGTAAGATACTACCTGGTTTACACATTGCTTTCTGTAATTTTGATTTAAATTTACCTTTTGACAAAGTGATACATTTGACTTCCACAGAAAGTTAATTAGAATTAGTAAAACACTGTGCTGCCCTTTGGGAGGGGAGGGTGGGACATGCCTCAGTTTCTTTACTTGAAGTTTGTGTGTGTGTGTGTTTGTTTCTGTTTTTGGTAAATTTGGGTTTTTGGTTTTTGGGGATTTTTTTGTATTGTCCTTGTGTTGTGCCAAATCATTTTGGAAAGACTTTGGTACCTTTTTAATACAAGCTGTTTTTGCTGTTTTTTTCAGTGAGGCACCTAGTTGTGGGGCAAATTAGTCTGGAGAATAAATTAGGTTAATAAAAGTTCAGTTCAGTTTTTCTCTTAATAAGGAGAAGGGGTTGTTTCAGTGTACTGGTTAAAATGTGCATGCAAAACTGCCCTCAGTGGGACATTGTCTGATCTGTTCAAGGATGTTTTCAAATTTCCTTCCCATGGCTGCAGTTTACACAGGGAAGAGCCCCTTAATACTGCAAATGGATGCTGAAGGCTCTTCTGTAAATTAAGTGGCAGGGACTTGCCTTTACAAGGCAGAGAGTCCTGAATGAAGCAATGTGAACCGTTCACATAAAACTTTGAACATATCTGAAATGTCTAATAGGTCATTTTTGCATATTAGACCAGGTTTATTGGCATTGTGCTATATATAGTAGGCTTATGTCTGTGTGAACCCAACCAATCCTTTATGGTCACAGTTGTCTCTTGGTTCTTTTCCTCTTTTATCCAGGATATCTCATTTTTTTTCAACTTATATCTTATTTCTGTCTTTAACTGATAGAGCTAGTTACCATAATTGCCTACTAGGTTTACGGGATACTTCTCTGTGTCTGAACAGTTTATCCTTGTTTTTTGCCAGCAGCAGGATTTTTTTCTGCTTCCCCCCCCCCCACCCTTTTTGGTAGGGAGGGGGGCTGGTGAGTTGAGAGAGAGGGGGAAGTAACTTCTGAGAACTGCTTTCTTCCAAAAATTAGGAAGACTTCCTAGGTCAGTAGAAGAGGAATCCTAAAGCAGTAGGCCAGGATATTTTCCTTCATTTCCTAACTGAATAAGGTTTGAAATTGCTCCATAATCTATAAATAGCATGCTAGGGGGAAAGTGTGTCATTTAACAGGTGGTTGCTAGGAAACTCTCTCATGAGTTCCCAAACTATTGGCGTTAAAGATTATGAAGGAAACTTTCAGTCCCTGTCTATTTGCATACCCGGCTGTAGTAAGCACAGGAGCGTTCTGTACTACCTGTGCATTGCTGGATGAAGAGCCGTTATTTACTGGTTAATAGAAGAAACTAGTAGGGAGAGTTAAAAATCCTACTGCTTTGTTACTCTGCTGCTGGCTTTGTTTTTTGTTTTCAATATCTCATGAAATCAGTGAGGACTCTGCACTTTTAAAATGGATGATTGATAGATACTGGCATTTTTTCCTGTTCAAAGCTACTGTAAAATGCATGGCTGCTTAGAGTCCACAAATATATGGATGCTTTAGAAACGTGGGCAAGACATTTCCCTATATAAGGTTATATTACAAAATGGCCTCCTTGATTGCAATATGCAGGTCCTTTGTAGGTATTGCTGAAGTGTGGATTCAGTTTGTCCCTGCAAACTTTTTATCACATGTTAAGTGTTTTCTGTCTGACTTGTCTCATCATATTGTAAGCTGTGGTCAACAGTAGGTTCTGCAATGGATTTAACAATGCAGAACCAGGTCTGTTCTCAGTGTACATTATTCAGTTCAGGCAGAAGTTCACTTGTGTTATCCTATCCTGATCCAAAGGCTTCTGGGTGCTGGTACCCAAGTGGGCTGTTCATGGCCAAGACCACTACCTATGGTATACAGTGCATGAAAAAAAAATAGTATTATGGGAAGCAGATTTGCAGTGAGAAATTCAGGACAGCGTCAAGTACAAAGATCTTAGTTGAGCAAGTGTAATTTTCTGTGTGTGTATGTATGTGTATATATATATATATATATATATATATATTTAAAGGAAGAAACAACAGCAACTAACACAAACTCTTACAGTTATGGCAAATTTGTAGGTACAGCATTTCATCTACAAACTAAGGAAAACCCCCACAAAATTAGGAAATCACCACACCTCCCTCAGCCTATATTTTCAATAGTTTTCTTATTACAGAGTTTTGATTGCCTACACTGGACTGTTAAAATCAATAGAACCTATGAGTAAACAAGACTCTAAAGTAGATCTCCACTGCCTGGAGCACCCTAAAATTGACAAAATGTTTAAAAATCAGTGAATCTGAGGTCAGCAAATCAGATCTGATATCTTTGTGTAATCTTGCTGAATAATAGGTTTGAACATCCTTCCTCTGAGGTCAAATGCTGAAGAAGTGCCATTTGTGTATATATTAAATAATCTGTAGAAATAAAAGATTGTGCAATAATGCCTGCATTACCTTATTACACTAATGGATAACCTACATTGGTGGGATCCTAAAAGGGTCTCTATCTGCTGTCCTTTTCATTGGAATGAATGGATCTTGTAGGAGGGGGGAAAAAAAGAATGGTAGAGTAACACAGCTAAAGTAATCATGTAAGCTTATCAGACATAGTGGGCACATCTACATGAGATGTTTACTGTGCAGTTAATTAATCAACTGCACAGTAAATGTCACAGCGTCTGCATGTGCACCCCTATTAGGGTGCGCAAAACTAATAAACTCTGCATACAAGTGAATACAAGTACTACCCTGCTGCAGAGCTTTTTTGTGCACAGCAACATGTGTAGACACTGCCCTGACTGACTGGGGCACAGGGTGCTTCAATGCGGGGTTAGCCAACAAACAGCCCCTTCCTCCCCCCACTGAAGCACCCTTGTGCCTCGGTGAGCTGGTCCACAGCATGTAGAGCCCAGTCTGAGCAGCTCTGGGCTGGCAGGCTGACCCCCTGGGTCATTAATCACATGTGTAGACCTGCCCAATGAGTAGAAACAGACATTACTTGATGTAACATTTGTGCTGCCAATCTGAGGCAAAACAGTAGCATGGCAAAAGTAGTAGTACATTCTGCACTTTCTGGGTTGGCAGATGTCTATTAGCTCTGTGATGAGAGAATGTGGGCAGTCCGCACTCTGCAGCCCCTCTGGGCAGGTGTCCTGAATGCTTGAGGGCCCCTCAAGTCCCTGGAGCACCTGTCCATTTTTCCCCACTTACAGTGAGGCACCCTAGGAAAAGCTGGGCTCTCTCTCTATAAATGGGAAAGTTGGGATTTCCCACCAATGGAGACCCACCTTGGAATTCCAGGGGCATGTCTCCATATGTAGGGAAAGCCTGTGAGCATCCCAGCATGGAGGCACGGTACCCAGGGAATCCCTGGTGCCCCATGCTTTCATGCTGGGACTTGTTTACTCAGGCCTACTGGAATGTCTGGGGACCAGTCTAGGTAAACAGGGAATCTTGGGGTTACCTCACTTATTTGGAGGTGAATCTGGGTAAAGTGGATCCTCAGAAA